TTCGTGCTTACTTGGCATTGTCTAAGTGTTTTTTATTTGTTTTGTAGCTTACCTGGCTTCGTGATTACCTGGCATTGTATAAATGTCTTCTATTTGTCTTGCTGCTTACCTGGCTTCGTGCTTACCTGGCAATGTATATATGTCTTTTATTTGTCTTGTTGCTTACCTGGCTTCGTGCTTACTTGGCATTGTCTAAGTGTTTTTTATTTGTTTTGTAGCTTACCTGGCTTCGTGCTTACCTGTTATTGCTTAAGTGTCGTTTATTTGTCTTGTCGCTTACCTGGCTTCGTGATTACCTGGCATTGTATAAATGTCTTCTATTTGTCTTGCTGCTTACCTGGCTTCGTGCTTACCTGGCAATGTATATATGTCTTTTATTTGTCTTGTCGCTAACCTGGCTTCGTGCTTACCTGGCATTGTCTAAGTGTTTTTTATTTGTTTTGTAGCTTACCTGGCTTCGTGCTTACCTGTTATTGCTTAAGTGTCGTTTATTTGTCTTGTCGCTTACCTGGCTTCGTGCTCACCTGCCATTGTTTGTATGTCTTTTATTTGTCTTGTTGCTTACCTGGCTTCGTGATTGCCTGGTATTGTTTAAGTGTTTTTATTTGTTTTGTCACTTACCTGGCTCCGTGCTTACCTGGCATTCTCTAAGTGTCGTCTATTTGTCTTGTCACTTACCTGGCTTCGTGCTTACCTGGCACTGTCTGTGTGTCTTAAATTTGTTTTGTAGCTTACCTGGCTTCGTGATTACCTGGCATTGTAAATATGTCTTTTATTTGTCTTGTCGCTTACCTGGCTTCGTGCTTACTTGGCATTGTCTAAGTGTTTTTTATTTGTTTTGTAGCTTACCTGGCTTCGTGATTACCTGACATTGTATAAATGTCTTTTATTTGTCTTGCTGCTTACCTGGCTTCGTGCTTACTTGGCATTGTCTAAGTGTTTTTATTTGTTTTGTAGCTTACCTGGCTTCGTGCTTACCTGGCATTGTCTAAGTGTCGTTTATTAATTATTTGTCTTGTCGCTTACCTGGCTTCGTGCTTACCTGGCATTATATATGTGTCTTTTATTTGCCTTGTCGCTTACCTGGCTTCGTGCTTACCTGCAGTATTGCTTAAGTGTCGTTTATTTGTCTTGTTGCTTACCTGGCTTCGTGCTTACCTGACATTGTATATATGTCTTTTATTTGTCTTGTCGCTTACCTGGCTTCGTGCTTACCTGGCATTGTCTAAGTGTTTTTTATTTGTTTTGTAGCTTACCTGGCTTCGTGCTTACCTGTTATTGCTTAAGTGTCGTTTATTTGTCTTGTCGCTTACCTGGCTTCGTGCTCACCTGCCATTGTTTGTATGTCTTTTATTTGTCTTGTTGCTTACCTGGCTTCGTGATTACCTGGCATTGTATGTACGTCTTTTATTTGTCTTGTCGCTTACCTGGCTTCGTGCTTACTTGGCATTGTCTAAGTGTTTTTATTTGTTTTGTAGCTTACCTGGCTTCGTGCTTACCTGGCATTGTCTAAGTGTTTTTATTTGTTTTGTAGCTTACCTGGCTTCGTGCTTACCTGTTATTGCTTAAGTGTCGTTTATTTGTTTTGTCGCTTACCTGGCTTCGTGCTCACCTGCCATTGTTTGTATGTCTTTTATTTGTGTTGTTGCTTACCTGGCTTCGTGATTGCCTGGTATTGTCTAAGTGTTTTTATTTGTTTTGTCACTTACCTGGCTTCGTGCTTACCTGGCATTCTCTAAGTGTCGTCTATTTGTCTTGTCACTTACCTGGCTTCGTGCTTACCTGGCATTCTCTAAGTGTCGTCTATTTGTCTTGTCACTTACCTGGCTTCGTGCTTACCTGGCACTGTATGTGTGTCTTACATTTGTTTTGTAGCTTACCTGACTTCGTGATTACCTGGCATTGTCTAAGTGTCGTTTAGTTGTCTTGTGGCTTACCTGGCTTCGTGCTTACCTGGCATTGTCTAAGTGTCGTTTATTTGTCTTGTAGCTTACCTGGCTTCGTGATTACCTGGCATTGTCTAAGTGTCGTTTAGTTGTTTTGTGGCTTACCTGGTTTCGTGCTTACCTGGCATTGTTTAAGTGTCGTTTATTTGTCTTGTTGCTTACCCGGCTTCGTGATTGCCTGGTATTGTCTAAGTGTTTTTATTTGTTTTGTCACTTACCTGGCTTCGTGCTTACCTGGCATTCTCTAAGTGTCGTCTATTTGTCTTGTCACTTACCTGGCTTCGTGCTTACCTGGCATTCTCTAAGTGTCGTCTATTTGTCTTGTCACTTACCTGGCTTCGTGCTTACCTGGCACTGTATGTGTGTCTTACATTTGTTTTGTAGCTTACCTGGCTTCGTGATTACCTGGCATTGTCTAAGTGTCGTTTATTTGTCTTGTGGCGTACCTGGCTTTGTGCTTACCTGGCATTGTCTAAGTGTCTTATATTTGTCTTGTCGCTTACCTGGCTTCGTGCTTACCTGGCATTGTCTAAGTGTCGTTTATTTGTCTTGTAGCTTACCTGGCTTTGTGATTACCTGGCATTGTCTATGTCTCTTTTATTTGTCTTGTGGCGTACCTGGCTTCGTGCTTACCTGGCATTGTCTAAGTGTCTTATATTTTTTTTGTAGCTTACCTCAACCTGGCTTCGTGCTTACCTGGCATTGTCTAAGTGTCGTTTATTTGTCTTGTCGCTTATCTGGCTTCGTGCTTACCTGGCATTGTATATGTGTTGTTTATTTGTCTTGTCGCTTACCTGGCTTCGTGCTTACCTGGCATTATTTGTATGTCTTTTAATTTTATTTGTCTTGTCGCTTACCTGGCTTCGTGCTTACCTGGCATTGTTTGTATGTCTTTTATTTGTCTTGTCGCTTACCTGGCTTCGTGCTTACCTGGCATTGTATATATGTCTTTTATTTGTCTTGTCGCTTACCTGGCTTCGTGATTACCTGGCATTGTATATATGTCTTTTATTTGTCTTGTTGCTTACCTGGCTTCGTGCTTACCTGGCATTGTCTAAGTGTTTTTATTTGTCTTGTAGCTTACCTGGCTTCGTGCTTACCTGTTATTGCTTAAGTGTCGTTTATTTGTCTTGTCGCTTACCTGGCTTCGTGCTCACCTGCCATTGTTTGTATGTCTTTTATTTATTTGTCTTTTCGCTTACCTGGCTTTGTGCTTACCTGGCATTATTTGTAATTGTATGTCTTTTATTAATTGTCTTGTCGCTTACCTGGCTTCGTGCTAAATGACGTTGTCTCAGTCAGTATTTAATCTCCATTTTGAGCTTACCTGGCTTCGTGCCTACCTGGCATTTTCTATGATGAACTACAAACTGTTTTTGACCGCTTCCCCGAACTGAAAGACGAACAGTGAGTTTTGAAAAAGGATCTAAAGAGTCTGATAACCAAGTAGCCGGATGTAATCTACTGTAAACACTTAAACACTAAACAGTGTTGCTAGGTCAGCAATGCCAATAATTATATGATTTAATTTATGTTTTTATTGCGTAGACATAGTAATGCTTGAGTTTTGTCATTCCAATTGCCATGTATGATTTTATTTTAAGATTGAAGCAAATTGTCGTTACTCAGAGGCTGCAAAAGGGTTATTTCTATAATATACCGATGGAAATGATATATTAAGATGCAATGAAACTACCAGACCACGATGACGTATGAGGACTTGCCACCCCATGGCAACATTAAAATACATCGACTCTGTTACATCATTTCCTGTTAATAGAAAACTCCGTCACAAATTGAACATGGATCTGGCAATATATAGGCCCTACAATGTTTTAAGGATCCACGCTTATAAACAAGAATTTCGCCGCGGTTAAACCACGCACGATCAATTTTCCCTACCATGTAGTTGTACTTGTACCATTAATTATTTTTTTTTCTCTTCGGCAAGAGTAGGGAAAAAAATTATAAATTATAATGTACTAGAAACCCGCTAGTCGAAAGCTTTGTTCGAGGAAATTTTAAAAATCAGTTATGTTTTAATTTCTCTTCATCATACAGCTCTGTTATAATACAGTAGACATAATGGAATTTATCTAACAATGGCGACAGCGTTGTTAGTATTCGGATTCCCAAAACGATACTTTTTACCGCATCAAAAAATACCAATCACAACCAAAGTTATGAATATAAGTCATAGCGTGAGCGTAAATGTGAGCTAGTTTTGAAGTTATGACGTAGCATACAGCATAACAACGCGCGTAGTTAAGATGTTATTGTTCGCGCACGTGCATTTTAACGTTGCTACGCAACAGCGCAGTAAACCTTTGCTAAAATAACGACATTATTCTAACGGTTATTTTACCTCACTTCCGACGTTAATTATAAAAAATCTAAAGCCTAAATCAAAATTCTAAGAATGCTATAGCCTATTCCTATCCTTTTTCTACAACCCTGCTAAAAATGGCGAGGTTTCAACTCCATTTGCGAGCTGGGTTTGGCATCACCAGAGGGTCATTTTGAGGTCGATTTTCGGTGTTTTTTCTTCTATGTCCCCGTTGCCGGGGAAATTTCGTCAAGTTTAAAATATAATATAGATAAACAATTTATAACCTTAAATTGGACACAACCCACTAGGCAAGCTAGCTGATACGGTGAGAACTGCTAGCTCAGTGCGCGGATTTGTAAACTTATATTTACCTACAAGTACAAGTACATGGTCATGATATTGTCACTGTCTAAAAATGTGAATCTGAACATTAGAATGCGCGAATTTGGAACTTGTTAAAACCGTACGATACTCACTGCGAACTTAAATTCATAATTAATTGTATTTATGTAAATCGTATGGGCATGGCACATTTTGATTGTTTCTAAAGCTTTTTAACAATTTAAATACATGAGTACATGTATAAAAACAGTAAAACTTTTACTATTATTATAAATGTACATTGTACTGAGTACTCATGTATCATAAAAGCAAGTTACTGATCAGGATTATCACAATAAAGTTTTTTGCTCCACAATATACAACAATTAATAGACACTATGAAATTATGTTAAACAATTCAAATAGTCAGTTTAGCATAGACATAAAAATGGAGAAATTTTGTACAGTTGCACAATTGTAATCATTCTACCCAATGTCCATGAAATAAAACGTAAGATCTTGAAATGAAACCTTAGATTAATTGCATCGGCAACTGTCAGTAGTAATTACCATCGCATTAGAGACTCAAGAAATGAGAAAACAGAAACATATTACGTTTTTTTGTCATTTTGACTATAAAATGGTCATGCCCAAACGTGTTCAAACTTCATTATATGTATAGAATAAAACAGCGTATCAACCTGAAATCAAAGTGAAAAAGAGAAGCGATCAACCCCATTAATCATAAGCATAGTCAATAACGAATCTTTCAGTCGTTCGAGTAACCGAAACGAACCATCATAAACCTTACTTAACTTAACAGACAATAAAAATATGTCCTTTACATGTACGTATTGGAAATAACAAATGATCATTGATCAATGATCATATACAGTTCCCTCATAAAAAGGATCCTTGTAGGATTCGGTCACTCGAAGCACCACTGTTTTCTCATTTCCCTCTCAAGCTTTACACAAAGAACAAAAACATGAAAAACAGCCCATGGTCCTTACTAGTCACTCCTCAGGCTGCAAAACGAGTTCTTTCACAAATATTCTGTGTTCATGCAAACATCAAGTCCAGTAATAAAGATTGAATCCTGTTTTAGTCTTTTGTTTTTTTTCTTTTCTGGGATGGAATGTTGAAGATCGAGCTGAGAAAGTACAAAGACGAAGGATTCATTTTAGGATAATCGAAATCCAGGATCTCATGATTTCCTCAATTTTAGCTGTCTGGCTTTGATTTCATCTCGTATAATAAACCCATCGAGGAATTCTGAGATTTCTAATTAAAAACATTAAAAAACCCGCCGGGAACTGAGAGCCACTGTTATGCGGGGTCCGTTAAATATTCGCCCGGTACGTGTCCTATTCTCAAATGCTTTATGACTGAGGGACATAGTTTTTCCATGATGGCTCCGAAAATGATAGGGTTTGTGTTTTGGGCGACAATGTTTAGGAGGACGCGTCCTGATGTTCCTATCCTGTAGTACATGAACTTCCAGCCAGGGTGCTTGTGAGAGAAATGTCCTGAAACAAAAATTGTATTATAGTCTGTACATTTTTCAAGAAGTAAAACTATCGATAAACCGGTTATATAGTTGTATAAAGTATACGAGATGGGAGAGGATACCAGATACGGTTAGCACTTGAATACAATTTGCTAATTATGTGATTTTCAGTCATCACTGAAACTTAACACTATTAATAATGCCATAAACAATTAAAATTCTATCCATTCTGTGAATTCCCCATTCTGTAAATTCCCAACTGTTATAATTCCCAACTGTAAATAAGATTAATTAGACTCCAAAGCAGCCAAATTATAAGCGATGAGTTTACAACGTGATAATCAGTGTACATTGTGTACATATATTGTCAATGACTGTAACAGAATTGGTCAGTGTAGAGCACAGTAAAATACTTGCTGTGGAATATGTACATGACAGCATGATGATGCTATTATTAGATCTGCGGCTTCTGTTACTTGTCACTATCAGAATATTAATTACTAATGAGGGTTTAAATGGATTTCCACAATGATTACTATTGTAGAGATATTTCAATTCTTCCTGGTTAATTTACTCAATCAATCAAACAAAAGACGTTCCGACGCCGGGAATCGAACCCGGGTCTTGTGGGTGAGAGCCACAGATGCTAGCCCCTACACCACGCCGGAGATATAGACATTTGAATTTAAATAAATTTATACATTCAGAACTTATACTATAGGTTTATAGTGTTGTGGCGTATTATTCAAGTGGTTCTAGTGTGGCTGTTGCCAGAGAGAAATCATCAATCAATCAATCAACACTATTCTTTCTCATCAAAACGTCACATCATTTGTCTAACTGTGTGCTGCTAGAAGATATAATAAACAGACATAAAACTTAAAAGTTGAATATGGTTTAAATTATAATAGGGATTCAAGCTTATCTAAAAACAACCACTCTATCAGACTAACCTGTAGCTACTAATTTGCTGTAGGTATATCTCGTAGCTGTTAGCTTAAACACATAGAAAAATATGTTCCCGAAGTTGGTAAAAATGGTGATGGTAAGAGCGAACCACATGATTAGGAAGACATACTGATAGATAACATTGGGGGTCAACACACACATTCCATTCTCTTCCTCCAGACCAGTCGTTCCCCACCTGATAGGATAATTGGTTTGATAATTGACGTGATCGGCATTAAACATGTCAATAAACTTATATCAATAGTTAAGGTTAATATTAGTCTAGAAAACTACGAGTTAAGGTTAATATTAGTCGAGAAAACTACGATATTTTTCAAAACTAATTTTTAAGTTCCATTCGATACTTGTCTCTTACTTGTTAATTAGCCCATTGCAAATTACCACTTTGAAACGATTCGATTTCAACTAGAAATACAACTGCAAAAGGGAATTAACTCTAATTTTCCCACGCCCCAACCATATCTAACATTATTCGACAATAAGAAGTTTAATCAAATTAAAGTTTATTTGGTTAACAAAAATGTTCCAATCTGAAACATTTTACTCCTTTTTCAATGTGAACAAAAGATTTGGCGACGAATGGTTACTAGGAATAAAGCCCAATTAAAATCTAAAGACGCTCATATTAAACTAAAAGTTTTACCAATTATACTGCATATTTTACCTTTTAATCTCGCAGGCGACCATCTTTGGGAAAAGTTTGTGTTTAACAGAAGTTGAATAGTTGTCAGGCTCAGGGAACTGCGTAATCCAGTCGTACCCATATGTTTGGAAATCACCAACCTGAGGGATTAAACGTGAAATTGAGGCTGGGCTTTATAATCATGAATTCCTGAATCATACAAAGCATTCAAAAGAAAGTAGCAAAAAATGGTTAAAATTTTACATAGTATTAATAATCGCCAAAATTCATAACTTTCAAGAATTAAAAAAAAAAAAACAATAAATCAGATGCCACCCACAAACCTGGAACATGACGGAAGTGAGTACCATGACGAGGACACTGCCACCCAGATACATGAACTTACTGGCCAGCACTGCCAGTCCCAGGCCGTGCCGGTTCCGCCAACTAGTCCAGCTGCTACCCTCTGAGAGCCGGTCCACTATACTGTTGTACACCCAGTCCGCACATTTTATTATTATCTGGTAGGGGAGGAGTGTATTAGTAATACTAACAATGTATCCGTATCATGTAGTGCAATTAGTATTAAAATAAGGTGGGTAATTCTCCTCACATATTCATTATTCATCGTCAAATTATGGGCCTTCGTTAACTGAGAAGAAGAGCAATAATACTGACTACAGACAGTAATCTACATAACAATTGATAACACGATCATGATAACCATGACAGTAAGAATCGTAATATAGTGCTAGACCCCACCACCGACCAGGCAGCCTCGCTACAATTATAATAGTGTAGCTTCTCATTTAGCCCTTTAATCACAGTATCCACTATCCAGAAACCAGATCATTGAGCAAAGTGGAGGGTAAGGGCTGCACAGACCCACAAGGATTAATGGTATATAGCTGAGCTGTTACCTGTAATCACAAGATTGCAGGGTGTGTGAGAGCAGCTACAGTAGCATACTGTAACAGTATGCTACTACACCACCAATCTCCTAAATGATAAAACGAGCAAATATCCCGACTTACCTCCTCGGATGGTGTCTCAGTGGTACAGTGATAGTAGTCACTCATTATCTTTAGTAGAGGTTTCATCCGGTCTAGACCCATCCGCTTCACGAACTAATGGATCAATTTGAGTTTAAGTATTTAAGTATCGGACATCGGTTTGGTCAGCACATACATACGTTTAAAAATCGACACGGCAAACAAGAATCGATTGTCAATGATTTATGAGTGAATACAACTGTAAAGTAAGTTCTTAAAAATGTCAATTTACAAAAAGATAAAGCTGAATGTAAGCAGAGAAAAGATGAGAGGATGACTAACCATATAAGGAAGATAGAAGACTGGAGCCACCACCCAGAAGTAAAATGGAATCCACTGATACCACAGATGTCTGGCCCTGGTAAGGGGTTTCACTTCGCTTTCAGGAGGACAGACTATCTTTCCTAAGATATGTATGATGTTAATCAGACTATCTGGCCTCTGGGTAGTCAGACAATTATTCGATATCAGTTTGGTATGGTGGACAAGGCTTGACTTAAAAGTCAAGATGCAGTCTATCAATCATATGAAATGCTACGTAATGGGTGAGATCAATATGGAAAAATCAACAAAAAACACTCTAAAGCGTTGATTCTAACCTCCATTTTTAAGGGTGTGCGGCCTGCAAGAGGGTACGTTCTCAGGGATGATCCCGGGATAGGGAATCTGGGACTCAGGCAAATCGTACGCTTCTTTAATCGTGTACAAGCCTTGAGTCCAGCAGTAGTCTTGGGAAAAATCCTCCGTAAACTTCGTAAATCCATCACAGGATATATTTTTACCTGATAGATAAAATAATATTGTCACTTTTTTAGCATCACGGATGATCAAAAACATAATATTAACGATTTCCAGAAAAATATCTTCTTTCCAGAATTATCCACATCAGATATGTTTCCCGAAATTGAAGTCAAAACAAATGATTAAGCAATAATTCTCGGCCAAATAAATAAACTTACCAGTATACTGGCCGACAGCTACAATGGTCCCCATAAAACACAGCAAGAGGAACATAAAGGTCCGGTTCATCTGATCCAGCCAGTCGTCCAAAGACAGGTCCTTGAAGATGCTCAAGTTCTTGATCGTTCCGAGTGAGCCGAGCAACAACATGTTTGAGCATTTCCCCTATGAAAAGGTGTCTTACTTAATCTTCAAGGGCTCTTCAGCGATTAAAAAGCCAAATTTTCAGCAGTTTGTTATTGCCTAGCAGCGACTTGTTGACAAGAAAGAAAATTTTAAAGGACTACAGTGTGGGATATTTTTTCGCATAATGCTGTCCTCACGCCTGTCCTGTCAAATTTTTTGGAATATAGAAACAAAACTGGAAGTTAGTTTGCGACATTTTTGGCATTTTGGTAATGAAATGTGTCAAGAAGACTGGGAATCTATCATCGAAAAGTTCTCTTTTATACCAGCCTATTTACACATCCTGTTCTCAGATAGATTCCCTGTCATCAGGTAGCCATGGCAAATTAATTTAGTAGACGAGTATGGTATTATTTAGTTTACATGTTTTAACTGAATCAGGGCAGATTTAAAAAAAGAAAATATTATTTAACTTTAAAAATATCTAAACAACACCAAATGTTATCACATACACAGTGCCACCTGGCAGGCAGCGCGTTACATCAGCAGACATTCAAGTACAACAGACAAGTTGGGTTACGTTAAACCGAGTGCTGATTACTTTAAACCGAGTACTGATTACGTTAAACCGAGTACTGGTTACTTGATTTGAGTTCTGGTTATTTGAAACCGAGTGCTGGTTACAAGAAACCGAGTACTGGTTACTTGATTTGGTTATTTGAAACCGAGTACTGGTTACTTGATTTGAAAACTATTACTGTTACCAGTAACCAGTTCAAAACCACCAACTTAGGTAACAAACACTAACTCATACCACTGACGCAAAACACTATCACAAATTAAAACCCAGCTATTAGTCCATCCGAATGACAAATGAAACACTGGTAGCATTCACAATACACCTTGGTAGCATTCACAATACACCTTGGGAACAACAACGAACACAAAACTCCACGACGCATCACAAAGAAGGCCTGAAGGCGCACAACTTAAACACCACAGAATATTGCATAATACCACACACCCGAACCGTACTGTACTTTACTGTGCTCAGTACTGCCCAGCACTTCAACATTAGAACAATACAGCATACAGACAAGGAGTTAACAAAGAGAATCCAGGCAGGGGCAGGGCACCACGCTTATAATTATACCCTCTTCTCTTATATAACCTGCCAGGATTCACAAAGATGAAGCTTGGCAGCGTATATACTATATTATAATAGTACTGCCTGTGTGAGAGTAACACATGACACAGGGTACAAGTAACATGAATAAATTTATAGAAGATCTGGATAATGTGCCTTATAAATCAAAACAGTCTGGACTCTGGTCTCTGTCTAAAATGTGTGTGGGGAGCCTAGGAATGAGCTTACATCTGGGGAGAAGTTTTTAAATGGTTGTCATTTAGCGATGATGAGTGAAATCACTGGATTGTGCTTTCTGTTCTAATATACCTACTTTTGCTGTCAGAAACAGCGATACTTAAAACAGGTACAATACAGGAGGATTTAAACCAATTTTACTGACAGAACAGACAGACGGCACTCTCATTTCAGATAATTAGCACTTCTTTGATCTGTTTACACGATTATAACAATGGAGATACTTTGCCGATATTGAGGCGTGCCAGACGGTAGATAACTGAGAATTGTTTGGTTCGAGGCATTTACTTTAGTAAGATGGACCGGGTGAGACCAGCAATATTCCTGTTTAGTTTATAATGTGTTACACGCTGTAAATTTAACAATTTTATTTCCTGTTTAATTTCATGCAAGCACCAAGATGAAACGGACACCATTTTTGTTTGATAAATGAATACTTCCAGTTCATAAAACCAGCAAACTTAAGGTAGAAGTTATTAGTACAAAATCCCAATTATAGTTGAACTGGAGGGTCTAGCCGTCTAGCCGGAGGGATATCGTTGACAGAACACATTACAGCCCGCATTCCGCAATAAGGGGAGTGTTTAAACATTATCGTATCAATAAACCGACTGGTAGATTACAGATCCGGGAGTATGAAGTGCAAAAGGTATATTGTATTAAGTACAGAGAACCCATGGATTAACACTGAATAGGGAGGGTAAAGGGTGACCTACCATTTTCAGTACACTGAAGATGAGAGGAGTGGTTCCAGAGATAACCAAATGAGAGAGAGAACTAGAGAGAAAGAGAGCAAATCACAAACAGGGATTCTTACTTTGCCCCAAACCAACAACCCACTGATGAACAACCCCTCTTTAATTTGGTTAATGAATTATTCACCGTGCAGCTCGCTCATTTCACCTTGCAATCACAGTGAACCATTGTTATCACCCAGTCATGGCTTAATGGCTACTAATGAGCTCACAGATGCCAGTCACAGTTCACACCCATCGGCTAACGGCTTGTTTACCAAAGATCTGGAAACATTTTGTATAACTTTAAATTTTGCAACAGTCCTTTTTGGCTTATTCAACATATACGCTCCAGGAAAATTTCATGAAATCGTAGCATTACGATCTCGCTGCAGAGCTTCACAGAGAATCTCAGTATAATGAATGAGTTTGCAAGACGATATCATGATTGCGATTGGAAAACTAGAATAGAACAGCAGTCACCCGACAATCACGAGGAGGACATACAAAGAGATCTGCTACCCCGAGATGATTACCAATCATATCATGTGAAGTCGCTTGTGGGCAGAGAGATGTTCTTTTGTTTGAACAACCTCACACATATTAGGGTGGAATATTTTAGAATAAAGTCGTTCTTCTCGGTGCTCAAGAGAGTGCGTTCTAGCGATACGAATAAATGAAATTAATATAAATCGAGAGAAAACTTATTAAAATTGGAATGTTAGGAGGCTCGCATAACTGTAGAACATTTTTGGGGATTCATTCGTCATAGCATGCAGTATAACGATTACAGGCACACAAATCAACAATCGAGGAAGAAACCTACTCCAAATCTCCTCCGAGCCCTTGTCCGGGATTTTCCTCGTCCTCCGGGATGATCACCCCCACCAAAATCATCGTCACCATCAAAATCAAAGTCCATTTGACCCGCACATGACACAAACAAAAATTGTGGCTGATGACACTCGCCATACAAGGAAATATGTTTGCACAGAGCTCTTTGCAGACTTATTAACTTTCTAATATTATAGGCGGAAGTGAAGGATTATTTGGTGGAGATATCAGGCAATATTCGTGGAGTGTGTCGTTTAGTTTCTTGGTAATAAAGTGATAGCCGACCAACCAGAACTGTCGGACCGATCTACACCAACAGCTCAAATTTATATCAGGATTGTTGTTGGATAAATTAATATTTATTTTCTCATTTTCAACAGTTTAATGCATTATAAAAACTAAATCGTTCGAAAAGTTTTAGTTGGCAAATAGCTAGTTTGAAGCCATCTATATAATTGTAAGTTTGAAAAATGAAGCCAGTTTCTGATATCTGACTCTCTTACATATAATCTGGAGTGGAAAAGAGCCAGGCACGAATAAATTGTATCCTTATTAAGTCAGTCAGTTGAGATGACGGGTCATGACTCATTACTCATAAGTCTCTACAATGAGACCCACATTGAAGATTATACTAGTATTAATGTCTTACCAAAACGCAATTATGTACGAGTGGTTTTTTGTAGCCATTAATTCCGGCGCTCAGCTAATATCCGTCATTCCAGATTGTAGGACATACCAAAAAATGCTATTTTACGTTTTAAAAAAGTACATAATAATTACGCTAAATAATTCCACTTGGCTATCACCGCAATATATGGTTATTACTGTTTCAGCATTACAATGGTCTGGGTGACTCATACCCATTTAGTATTATAAAATATAAACTGCTTCTGCCCCATTCCTCCACATTGAAATGCGAGACTGTGCGAGTATAACATTGTAATGCTTCTTTAAAATGCTGAAAACTGTAACTAAAACAAATTGATAATTCGACGCACCAAATAACCTAAGAATAATCGAGCCAACACTGACGGATCTTTCTCAAAAACGTCAAAAAGAGTGTCTCCAACGGAAAGCTAAGATAATGGGGATCAACTAGTTGACTTAACATCAGTTAACAGTAACACTAGACACACGCCCTCCAACTCTATTCCTGGAGATAAGCTACAGAGCTAGACACTGTAATGGGATAACGCTTCCTCCTCCTCCACCTCCTCGTGCAGTGACTACACACAGTAACAACACTCTCAGAGCACGCAGTAACAGCACTAGGCTCGCATAGCAACTATACACGCTCTCCACTACTAGCTCACTGCTCTCTCCGCAGCTGTGTGACTATAGATAACAAGGAACAAGCATTGGTCCACTGGTCAGTGCTGGCTAACAAGGATCTATTATCACGTGGGACCTCGCTGGCTGCTGCACGACCGGGGTTATGTCTTATGTGCATAATGATGGTTTACAGCTTTGTCATATCGCGGTAACCAGGCCAACTATTGGTACATAACAAGGATGACGGAGAAAATGACTGATAAAAGTACGAGTCTAATCACTACTGAAGTGAGATGAGCTTCTGATAACTGAATCCTTAGATCTTCTTTTTAGATGACCGGCTTATCGTGAACAATAATCAGTACGGTTAAGACTTATAAAGAACTGAAGAAATGAGAAATTAATTTTTGGAATTTGATGGTTGAAGTCTAATGAACACACGAGTTAGACGTTATGACGAGGATAGTTGCTAACTCTAATTGGATGTCTTATGCTTATGTAACAAACGAACTTAAGTGACTCTACTAAATAATGGCTTACTAATCAAGAAGGTTAAGTCATTCTGTAAGCAACCATTTCAGCCACTACTACAGAAGTATAGAGGTGAATTGAGCTGTAAATTGAAAGCAAGGGCGGAAACTCTAATCCAAGACGGTCTAATTGATAAGTAACCAGTGTTGCAGAAAATATTCAAGACAACTTGCATTCATAAAGTGGTACGGACTGCTGAAACCTCAATTATGACAAACAATGCTAATAAGTAATTAATTAATTAAGTAATTGATTCTCTGTAACTAAAAGTTTCGAAAATTAAC